AGCTGGGTTTGAAAAGCTTGAAGTATGGGCGGATATTCAACGATTTGGTTTTTGGCTTTCGAATCATCAAGAAAGAAGTCAAATTGCAAGCCAGTAAATACTGGATGTATTCAGGCCATACCGAAGGAGTGGAAATGGGTATTCTATTCACCTATAGAAAGATTCAAAGATGTTGTTTTAATACGGTTTTTAATTCCTTCTTTTTCCGTGTGGCGCGTTGGATACGATTTTTGCCGCATAATCTTCTCTCATGTGAGAACTCATTACAGTTTCGAACACAGCTAAGGAAAATCAACATCCTCGAGATTCTCAGAATACAAGATGTAGAGTAGCGCATTAAAGTTAAAAAGCTAATGTGGTATATAATTAAGGTTGTATGGATCCTCGGATACGTTGTGCTCAGTTACATCCTTTTCGATTCTACGGACCGATATTTGTTTTGGCCATTTTGTTGCATGTCGATTATGAGGTCGTCAAATGCTATCCCTCGCATGTGGCGTCGATGGCTGTTTGTTAATATCGTGGCGTGCTTCTCTGTTCTCTGTTATCAGTATTGCTTCTATTGTGTGCTATTATACGTTTTACTGATTTAATTCTCTGTGGTAGCGGTTATACCTTTCGTGTATGCTTGACGATCAAGCTAGTGAGTATCAGAAGGCTAACCGAGGTCTACACTGTTTAATCCAATCTAACTGGTCATAGCGACGCTTCTAATTGGTCTCATACTCAAGGACTCATCATCAACGGTTGTTGTCTGTTTGCTTTGCTGGTGGGTAGCATCCGGCTTCAGTACTAGCCCAGCTTGCCAATTCCACGTGGGTGGCCGGTAAACCCGTGTCTCGGAGTTTTGGCAAGTGCCTATGACCCCGGATGTGGCGAAGGGCATCACAGCCGGCTGATGTGGGCTCCTACCTGAGGCTATTGCTTTCTTGCTACAAGGCTAACAGCATCAGCTCTTTATGGTGATGCCATAGATATTTCTAATGTGCACATTCCACCGTCGCTAAGGATCAGGAGTCTACACTTAAATATTACCAGGTTTCCTTCCGGAGCAAGCCTCTAGCTCTCGTCTTGCACTGCACGTATTGAGCTAAGTTTTTAGTTCGTTGTCCCTAATTGGCAATGCTCAGCGTCTCAGTATTCTATGATGATTTGATGATGGATCTTATCCTCCTTAGCATCTTTTTTAGGACTTTCTTGTCTTTTGTTGAGTTTATTCTTTATATACTTTGATCCTTCCTTTTACGAGACATCTTCATGTGTTTGACGGCATGTCTTTTGACGTACGAAACAATAAACAATAAACAATTTTTGCAGTGCAAATTCTTGGGGAGCATTGAATATTACTGAAAAACACTGAATTTTCCTCTGAAATTTTCTCAGTGCGCAATGGTGCATTCACATGTAACCACTTGTCCTTGGGGTCTTTTTTTCGAATATTGGGAATGGTTGCGATGTAAAACGGAATTATCATCAGTGATGGAGTAAGTGCATTATTGGTTTGGGACGAACATGGTTCAGCGTGTTCGTGAGTGGAAACTCCCCCCTCACCATACCGTGATTTGGATTTCTCATAAAACCTGATTTGAGAAAGATCGCCGTGAAATTTTGAGTCGTACTTGTATGGCATGTCGCGAAGCACATCGCCCTCGGTGAAGGGGTGGAATTGGAAGATCGAAGGTCTTCTTAGAATCGTAGATTCACGCATGACCAATAATGAAGCTTTCTCATGAGAAGGAGCCTGAATCCATACGGATAACATCAATAATTACAGATCACCTTCTGCGTTCACTGACCTCTTTAGAACAGTAAGCGATTAGTTTGGACAGCAAAAGGCCTTCCTCTACAAAAGGAAATCGTTGGCGGAGTTCCTTCATGACCTCGAACCGAGCGGCTAACAATGCTATACGAATTCCATCCAGAGCAGAGCCCTGCAAATAGAGATTCTGACACCTATCAATTCTTTAACAGAGATCTTTGCTTGTCCTGCCTGGATCACACCGCCTCCTTTGCCTCCCTCTGTGAGCGGCAGGGACTCTTTCGGGAGGCGATGAATTTTGACCAAACCAGTGATAGCATTATCCTTCCAGTTCGGTCATAGCAGGACAAGAGGCCTGGATATGTCATGATTCAGCCACAGCGCTTAGCCAAATAAACTGCTACAATACAAACGCACCCAACTGAATCCAACACAACCCAGTGCGTCCCCGATCATGTTGGCAAGGATTGACGGATATGAGTTAACCCGGCTGCGAAAAATTATAGGCATGGAATCTAGGATGCTGCCAGTGGGTCACGCCAGGCATGATCAGCTTCTCAAAGTCGTCCATCACCTTTTCCCACGGTTCACCTCGTGACGGGGCTTCTGACGGTATCAAATTCTGAAAAGGTGATTCTGAACACGAGTGTGAACTGCAGTGTGGCAACTCACTTTGAGATAACCTGGTTCGATCGCTGGTACCACACGCCTCTTCTGGATCGTTTTCATATAATCTGCTATGTAATCCACTGTTTCCTTGCCATATCGCCGAAAATCCTGACGGCTCATTCCTGGAAAAGGATTCATGGGATAAACGTAGGTATTACAAGGGAACCACTCCTGAATTACTATAATTGAGGTAGCTGAGGAGTGCGCTAGGAAAACGTTCTCCAATCTAGGCGCAGTTATGGACTTCCTCGCGAGATAGTGGTCCAGTTTCTTACAAATGAATGTTGAGTACTGCCGTCTAAACTCAGGAACGCATTCAACTTCCCATGGGACTTTAAAAGTAGACCTCATTATTAAAACGAGGCGGTTGCATTTTTGATTTCGGGAAGGGGGGTCGCATTTTGGGGTTTAGCAAGGTGAATGATCTTTGGATAATTGCGAACGGTGGGTGATAAAAGAGATTGCCATTTAGACGGGTATTTGGTGGATGTTCCAGGAAAGTGGCAAAGTTGAAAGGAAGTTGGAAGATTTGCTTTCCATTACAGCAATTGCCTCCCTTCCCCCCACCCCAGCTTGACGGCCCGTTGGGTGTTAAGAAATAGTGGGCGGAATTGGGCTGTGTTGACTGGTCTCAGAATAACAAACTACAGAATCAAGTACTTTAGAAACAGCCGTGATGGCGAGGATGTTGGTTGGAGAAGGAGGAAGGGGAATGGTTTTGAGGGAGCTTCCTAAGTGTCATGCTTGTGGTGGGGGGTTGCACCGAGACCTCCCGCAAGGGGGAAGGGTCGCAAAATTTTCGAAAATGCGCGAACGTGACGGTTGACCCTGGCTGGAAGTCGAGCGCCACTCGTAAACCGTGCTAGCGCCCAGGCATTCCGAGTCGCCGTGGAGTAGTGGTAGCGCTCTCAAAATTTGCACTTCAACGAAAAGAGAATTCATGGCTGGAGGCTGGAGTACATATGATATTTAT